ATTGCCCTCTTAAGGAGAAGAGTACTCCCTATTAATTTAACAGTATTAGAAGCCAGTATGTTGTTTTTTGTTTTATGTAAAAACCACAGCTATCTAGAAGGCTTGTTTGCTGATAATTTAATAGAATTTTTACATGCTCGAGTGATATTTGATTTTCTTTTAGGAAATATCAGATCTGAGGGACATACAACATGCATTGTAGACTGTGTTTGCTGAACACACACATTCCCAATCTTACAGAAAATGGCTGGAATATTGAGCTAGACAGAGGGTACTGCAGAAATACCTAACATTACAATTTTAATAAAGGGCCTAGAGGGGAACAATGATCATTTCAATTCATTGACATATTTTTGTGCTTTATTCAGGAGATTTTTTTAATTGAAATTCTATTGCTGCTGTTTTATCTCCCAGTGTCTTTCCCAGTCCAGAGTGGTACATGTGTTAGGTGCTATAGGGTTTTGTTTTGCTGAACATACTTGACCTGGAGGTCTGGTGTCTTCTTTCTGCATTAGGGCCGGGACAGATAGGTGGAATTCAAGACCAGGATTGTGTCTCCTCTTTCAGGCAGACACACTTTCTGATACTACACCCGGCTTTTGTTACAAGACGTGAAAGTTTTGGCCAGATTTGAACTTCAGTCATCAGGAGAATAAGGCCATCTATCTGCCCAGTTGGTTGTACATTTTTTTCAGAGACCAGTTTTTAATCAGAAAATGCAACTTCATTAAAATCTAAATGTCTTGTAGAAACATATATGTTTTGACAAAATGTTCAATGGAGAAAAATTGAAACAAATATATTTGACTTTCTCTTTACATTTGATATTGTCAAACTGTGATTTTATCATTTGGATTCAGTTCATTTTGAACTCTTATTATATTACAAAGGAATGGGTATGATACATAATATAGTGCTTTGACATTACCTAATTGTTGCTATAAAATTAAGTGTTTGGAAGATATTTTTAGTGCTTATATTCCATGGAAAATTTGAGAATTTTAGTTCCCCATTATGATTTTAAATGAAAGCAGAGTTTGAAATGCTATGATTTCTAGTGGAGTAGGCATTCTTTTTTTCAACTAGATCTACAGCCACGCTGGAATTAAATTTAAATTAAATTCATTTGGAATTAAATTTAAAGAGAGAAGTGGATTGTGTCCACAAAAACTCATGGTACCATTTACATGTTTTATTAGTCTTTAAGCTGCTGCTAGACCAGTGGTCCCCAATGTGGTGCCCGCGGGTGCCATGGCGCCTGCTGGGGCATTTGTGCGCGCCCGCCGACAACCTGGGCTCCCCCTTCCCCCAGCGCGCAGCACACAGGAGGCGCCGGCCCCAGGCGCGCGGCACGCAGCGGCACCGGGTGCGCGGTGCTTGGGCGGCCCCAGCCCCGGGGCACATGTGGGCGCGCGGTGCTCGAGCGGTGCCGGCCCTGGGCCCACGGCACAAGGCGCTCGGGCGGCCCCAGCCCTGGGCCTGGGGCACATGCCGGCGCCGGGTGCAAGGGCATCTCTGTCCTCTGGCGTGCCCCCAGCCGCGCGGCTCACCCCCTGGGCGCCCGGCGTGTGAGTGGCCCCACCCCCGGGCGCCTGGGAGCCTCTAAAGGTTGGGGACCACTGTGCTAGACTGTTCATTATTTTGTAACTTTTTCCAGTTATAGACTAACACAGCTACCCTCTGAATCAGTTGGAGTCAGTGATCACCAGGTGTGATCAGGATCACACCCTGAGATTAGAGGCATATTTGGTACCCAGCTGAGCTTTAACTCTTGCTGCTCTGGTTTCCATTAGTCACCCTTCACTTGGAATAAAGTTAATTCTGAGTCTGAGCACTTGTCCAAAAAGGTGGGAAAGGGGAGAAAAAATGAAAAGATTCTTTAACTTTTGTTCAGGTGCACTGGAAATAGTTTGTAGGATCTTTGCCATTACAGAACATAGGTTCCTTTAAAAAGAGAAACATTTTTATCCAGTGAAGAGTCTTGCTGTTTACTTGCACAGAACTTGTGTTTGAACATGCTTTTGTTTTCACTACTCATTTAAAACATCCCTAATTGCAAGGACAAATCCCTAGCACAGTGATCCCCAACGCGGTACCCGCGGGCACCATGGTGCCCGCCAGGGCACTTATGTGCGCCTGCTGAGTGCTGGCTCTAGGCACCAGCAAACCAAGCACATGCTTGGTGTGGCACATTGCCAGGAGTGGCATTCCAGCCACTCCTGAGAGACACTGGCTGGAAAACTCCTGAATTCCTAACCCTTATCGCCCGATGCGGGCCTCCTTGTGGCTGCCCAAAGCAATGGGCGGGTCAGTGGAGCGCGCGATGGGCCAGCAGCGAGCCACCCTCGGCAGGTGGGGTGCGTGGGGCAAGTCATGCTGGCAGCCCCACCATGATTGGCTGAGGCGCCATTTCATCATGGTTCTGGGGCTGCCTCGCTGCCTTCCCTCGGCACCAGGGAGAAAAGTGCACCCTCTACTTAGCGGCGGGGCAGGGCGGGGCGGCCTTGACAGGAGCGCTGGCCACACACCTCTCCAGTCAGCTTCCCGGCGCAGCTTCTGGTGCCCAGCACCCACCGGCAGCGGAGCGGGAAATGCCCGAGCCTCTCATCCATGAAGCAGACTCCAGCACCCAGGGATCGTTCGCGCTCCTCTGACTGACACCAGCCAGCACAGCCTGACGTGCAGGGGGGCGCACCATGGACTTTGGGAACAGCAGCAGTGCTGGAGTGCTACAGCCCTGGTGGGCGAGCCACTATCCCCAGGCTGTGCAGGGCAGGCTGCACAGAGCGATCCAGGGCCGGGCAAGGGGCAGCCCGGGTCACTGCAGCCAGGGACCACGCTGCGAGCCAGGTGCCTTTGGTCATCTCTCCTCCTGCCTTGCACTTACTAGTGACCCCTCCGGCCGGAGCGGGCACCCTTGGCCAAGGAGTTTGCAAGAGTGTCTGTGTGGGGAGAGGGGGAGCGCACATTGGCAAATGGGGACGACTTTCTCTCCCTTTTCTTTGCCTCAGTGCTGGTCGTGGAGGGAGGGGGGAGCTGCAGCCTTGGTGGAGCTGGGCAGAAGGAAGGCTCTGCCCGGGCCAGGATGATTCCAACAGAGGTGCCTAGGCTAGGGGGAGGAGAGAACTACTTTGCAGCCTGATCTGGTTGGTCTGGCGGTGAGGAGCCGCTGGAGGGGGCCTCGCCTGCCCCGGCTCAGAGATTGGGGGGGAGGGGGCGAAGAGGTATCCCTGGCCTTGCCCTTTGTTTCCCGGTTGTGTCCACACGCATCCCCAGGGAGACCCATGCCACTTTCACCCCTCCCTCAGGGTGCTCCGACGTTTCCGCACGTGCTGGGAGGAGGGGACATGAGGGCTTGGTGGGGAGCAGGAAAGGAGACGGAGTTTGGTCAGTTGGGGGAAGTGGGAGAGGGGAGCAGACTGAGTCCAGTGGGGAGGGAAAGGGAAGGGAGTGATTGGGTTTGGCTGGGAGTGAGGAGAGGGTGCAGGGTGGATCATGTGGAGGACAGAAGCGGGGGCAGACTGCGTCTAGTCACTGAGGGGTAGAGTTTGCCCGGGAGGGGAGAGGAGGTGGAAACTGAGTTTGGTGAGGTGGGGGGGGGGGGAAGCGTCAGGATGTGTGTAGATGGGGATATGTGTGGAAGGGAGGCAAGACAAAGGCTGGATTTGGCTGGAAGGTGTGGTGGGAGTCAGAGCTGCAAGGTGAAAGGGGTGCTTTCCTCCTCAGTGCCTGTCCTGCAGCAGTGTTCGGGGGTGGGGGGAGGTAGGGAGTGTGGACAAACATTTTTTTGCTTGGGGCAGTAAAAAACCTGGAGCCGGCCCTGTACGCAATGCATGCATGACCCCACCTCCAGACGTGTGGTGTACGCATGGCCCCAGCCCCAGGCACCCGGCGCACACGTGGCCCCACCCTCAGGCGCCCAGCAGCCCAAAAAGGTTGGGGACCACTGCCCTAGCAGCTTAAAAGAAATAAGATGGTTCTGGAAAAGCAAAGCCACACAACCTTCTCCTAATGAACCCTGAAAAAGCATGCATGCTTTTTTGTGCCCTTAATAGATTTACGTCAGTATAGCTGCTTTTATAATTTTTGGTATCAAGCATGTGACCTTTGGGAGCATTGAACTATTTCCTTATTGGCTATGACACAGGGAATTTTTAGCAGTTTTGCTTAATATGGACAAAACTTGTGCACATATTGCATTGAGAATGACTATTGCAGCGTTTATACAAATGCTGTATGTAAACTATGTATGTGTGTTTTCTTTAATATTTTCATTGCATTCTCCTCTTGTTGTCAAGCCAATACTCAAATACTAGATGGCAGCTGGAGAACAGGGATCAAGGGAGGATGGTGCATAAATGGAGATATCTGCAGAAAACTGTCAGCATTTTAATCCAGAGTGGTAATCTGATAAAGAAGTCTAGTGGCCTATGGTTATCAGAGGCTTGATCAAAAGTCCACTGAAGTTCATGGGAAACTTTTCATCAACTTCCAAGAGTTTGGGATCAGCTGAAGTTGATACTTTTTAGGATTTTTAAAAAATTAAATATTTCATATTTTAAGTTTAAGGAAGCTATAATAATGTCTTTGTCACTGCTTCCTGTTAAAATAAATGGATGATCATGCAAACCCATGTCTTTGGTGACAAGTTTCAGAAGTTAGTCTGTTTCAGCAAAAACAACAAAGAATCCTGTGGCACCTTAAAGACAGACACATTTGTTTGGGCACAGTCTTTTCATGGGCTGGAACCCACTTTGTCAGATGCACCAAATCTTTGTTAGATTTTTTGCAAAATCTCCTTCACTTTCATGAATGACATGGGTTAAAGCTGGTAATTCCAGAGTGAGAGCCAAGGTCAGTGGTTTCAAATGAATGCAGTTGTGCGCTGCTCTGAGGGTTTTAAGGAACACCCATGTGGTTTGCTTGTGTTTAGCTCAGTGTTTCAAAGCTTTAACAGAATCTAATTGTTCCATTTCTGTGTGTTTTGTTTTTAATTGCAGGCTGCAAACAGTTATCTGAGGGATCAGTGGTTTCATTCTTTGCAGTGGAAGGTAGGTTTTGCGTTCTCTATTTTCTTTATATTTTAATTGTAAGTGGGAAGTTCCCTTTCCACTCTCTTATATGCTCTGTGATTCATGGGTGAATGGTACTGTCTTAAGTGCAAATGCCAAGAAGGGCCACAGCAAGAAATGAAGTAACCTGACTCACCTTGAACCAGAAGTTCAGATACATCACTACTTTTTTTTCCTAGATAAGTTTACTCAAATGGTGAAAATCCCCTTCTTCTTGAGGTTTAGGTAATGATTACTTCTTTTGTTTTCGACTTTGACACCATATTCATTTGCAGTCATGTCTTTTCCCTCCAGAATCCCTGAATCCTAAAATGTCAACAAACTGAGCAGCTTGTGATAGCTTACTGCTGTCAGCCTGTGGTAGCCTCCATGCAGTATAACAACTCATTTTCAGGTGGTACAGTAATGGAGACCACTTGATTCTGTGAAACCAGTAGACTTTAGAATTTTACAATAAGGCAGACAATAGCTTAATCCTGAGCTGTTCTGATCTAAACCATCCATATACATATTTTTAAAAAATCTAAAATTACATGCAGTCTTGGCTATTAATTAAGGATGTTAACTAGCAGTTAATTAGCTAGTTGAGTAGTCGATGAAATTTCTAGTTGATAGGCACTTCTGCATTCCTCCTTTGAAATGTACAAGAGCCCCTACTGGGGCTCTTGCACATTTCAAAGGAGGAATGTGGAACTCCTCCTGCAGTCTGAGGCTCCGGCTGCATGTGGGCCAGCTTTGAAATGTACTAGAGTCTCCAGTGGGGGCTCCTGTACATTTCAAAACGGAAGTGCCCTCATGGAGTTCCATGATGCACTGCCGATTTGAAATGCCACACGGTGCCTGGGGTCAGCTGGGACTCCTCAGCTGGTCCCAGGCTCCACACGGTATTTCAGCTGAACCCGGGATCAGCTGGGGACTCCCCAGCTGACCGAGTTCTGCGTGGCATTTCCCCAGATCAGCTGTGTTGTGCTGCCCCTTTAAACGTCGCCTCGGCATTTCAAAGCAGCAGCACCGCACAGCTGATCCCAGGCTCAGCTGTGCGGCGCTGCTGCTTTGAAGTATCCTCCCTTTGCTGCCTCTGTCTGATAGAGGTAGCAAGGTGGGGGGCTGGGGGAGGAGAGGAATCAACTAGTCGAATGACTATCCGATAAGCATTTATTTATCGGATAGTTGACTGGTCCTTAACACCCTTACTGTTAGTTATTCAAGTCTCAGATAATTTGTAATGCTCATTGGGAAAGATGTTGGTTAACGCGGTGATTATTAAACAAATTGATTCACAAATATGTCAAAAACAGATCAGTCCAAACCATCAAAAATGTGATGTTTTTTTTTTTAAAGGACTTGTGGATGAATTCAGTTACAGGTCCAAACTGATTATGAAGACAAATTTTTGCTTGGGATTGAATGGGGTTATCATGTGTATAAATCCCACAGTGTGAAATAGTAACTTTCCTGTGTGGTTTTTGGAGCTGAGGGATCAGCAAAGGATTTTTCTTTGGAAACATTCCAGTGCAGTCCAATAGGCTGACTTCTCTTGGTTTCTTATCAAGATTCTGTTCTGCCCACAACAAGTGCGTGTGAAAAGAGATGAAAGTCCTTCCCATAGAACTGCTTTGGAGTAGACACTTTTGAATAGCACAGACTGTGAAAAACATTTACCCAGAAAAATTTAGATGACTCCTATGTTTTGTATAGTTACAGATTTCTTTTACCAGCTACTTAAAGAGGAATTGGAAGGACAGCAAAAATGGGTACCTCAGAGAGAAGAAAATTTAGGGATAAATCGCTTTTAAATCTTATACTTTGGTTTACCCATGTAGATATAATAGCTACCGTACAGCTGTATTGTGAGGCGTGTTTAATCCTTTTAGATCATGGGCTGCAAAGCGCTATGTAAAACATGAGCTATTAATGTTTTCTTTCCCATTAATAAGTTGTACACGCTGACAGTCTTTTGAGGAGTGGGAGGAACAGATGAAGTAAATGCATCTTTTCAATATTTTGAGGCTGCTTTGCTGTTATGTGATGCCTTTGATTCACAAATTAGTATGAAATTTCACGTGGCGATACCACACTGCTCTACAGCTAAAGGGCCAGATTCTGCCATTTTACTCATGCTGAGTAACCTTTCTGTTTGAATGAGTCCATTGAATTCTAGTGCATTGCTGGATTGAGGCCAGAGTGTTCAGCACGTTGCAGGATCAAGCCTATTCTTTGAATGGATCCAAGTTCTCACCAGCAAGATCCAAATGTTAAGGAATTGTTAACTCTCTCCCAGTTCATGACTTTGCAGAATATTCTGTCCATTGCCTGTGTCCATTTAGGTGACAAATAATATTGTGTGCAAAGGCTGTGATAAACTATGGCACTGCTGCTTTTGCTACTTGACTATGCCTCATCTTCCCTTGGCCAATATTGCAGTGTATGACTGATGCAAATATTTTTGCATCAGTCATGGATGACAGCATGAAAGTTCTATATACTGCTACTTCCCCATCTCCCTGGATGGGCAAGGACTGAATAGGAGTGGCAAAGACAAGGCGGATTCTCTCACCCCATTCACTGTGCCTGCCAGGAGAGCTGGTGGCGTGGGCCAGCAGATTACATCTTCAGAGAAGGGGAAAATTAATCAGCTCTTCAGTATGTTTTTGGTCTGCTCTGGGTGCACCTCAGCCATGCCCTGCACCATTCCCAGGACACATCATACTTTTACAATCTAGCCCTGCAGATTTAAACAGCAAAGAAAAAAAGTAACTAACATGGCTTGTTTCACTCATACATCTTCCAACCATATGGCGACAACTTCGCTCAGTAGGAGCTGCTCTTAATAATGAGCTAAGTAAACTTTCCAGGGCTTGCAAGCAAACCTCTCATTCTGGGAAATTGACTAATTGAACCTCAGTGGATATTTCCTGTAGAGAATTCATTTTTACTTCTATGCTGCTTTTTAAAAGTTTTTTGTTAATAGAATAAAGCATTATCTTGATTTGAAAGGCCTTCCCTTTGCCAGGAATAGGAAGCAATTCTTTTCCCCAAAACAATGGCAGAGCTTAAATCATGGCCCATATACTTTGTGCTAACACGTTCCTGTTTGCTGGAACACAGTTGTTTTTAATGTTTGAGTTGCTTAACTTTTTAGAGGAAGAACACCCGCTAACTTCATACTGTTTACCTTGGCGCATATTTGGCACTTCAAATGAACTTATAATAGAAGCAAGGGTAAAGAAAGTGAGGATGTTACTGCGTAGACTGAACTCCTTGTTGGTGGCCCCCTTGTCTTAGTTTCCCCTCTTGAACGACTCAAAAACCCCACCCATAGGAGCAGTGTGGGAATAGTGGTGCAGGGTCTGGGCAGGAGGGAGGATGCAGGGAGCAGGCTGGGGTCTAGGAGGGAGGTACAGTGCGGGAAAAGCCTAGAGGTATGGAGTCTGGGTGGAAGGGAGGGTGCAGAAGCAGGCTGAGGATGGAGTAATGTGGAAGGGGGCATAGGATTGTGTTTCTCACCTGGCGTAGCTCCCGTTCTGCACTGTGCTTGTGGGTATTGTCCCTTGCCGTTCCCATTGACTATGATCCCCCAGCCGATGGGAGTGACGGGGTGTAGCTTGCAGGTGAGTGCAGGGACTTCCCTGTGCTCTTGTTTTCCCAGCCAGATGGGAGGGTAATGACAGCATGCAGAGCTGCTTCCTTCCCCTGCCAGACAGAGCTGGCCACACAGGGGTTTTAGTTTTGATCCCCTGCTGCTTCCGTCCACAGTCGGGGAGCTGGTGCGCATGCTCCAGCCACACGGGGGCAAAGGGGGTGCTAAGGCTTGGAATCTTGCTGTGGGGCTGGCATGCCTATGCTGGCTCACTCCACTGTGGGGGTGGGAGAGCCCCAAGGCTCACTGCAGCCTGGATCAAGACAAACTGAGCACCAGAGCCAGCCCACGAGCCATGGGTTCCCCATCCCTGAATAGACAAGACTGAACGGAAGTACTAGTGTACCTGTTTTACAGTCATGGAACAGAATAGCTAATTGACTTGCCCCAAGCTCCACAGGAAGCCTGTGTCAGAGATACACTGAATCCAGGTCTCCTAAGTTACCAGTCCTAAGCCTTAACTCCAAGGCCAACTTTGGTCTCACGACAGTCAGTGGTAAAATCCTTGGAAGCCCTACTTCCTGTCTAGGCCAAATAAATATTTTGTGTAATTTAACTGGCTGGTTTTATTCCCTTTTCCCCTCTTGCTAAACCTGAATGTATTTTGTAGAACTAGGCTTTGTGGAGCGAGGGCATGTGAGATCACTTGTGTTTGTCATATTGCCTGAGGAATGTACACAGAGGTTTAGTTTGGGGCAAATTTAGATATCAAGATATGGACCTCTGGCATTTTCCTTATATGCTGTCTGTCTCTCACTCTGTATTTCTTGCATATAATAAGATCTTAAGGGTGTGCATGTGCGTGTGTAAGATAGCAAGCACCTTGGAGCCCCGATCTTGGTCATCACCACAATATATATGTTAGTAATGAAATGCTTGATTGAGGCAGTAGTTCACAACCACTGGTCCACGGACTGGTGGCCAGCCATGAACCCCTTTGTGCCAGGCCACAGCATTCTGCCAGGCCATGCCACCACCTGCTAATGACCCCCGCCTGCAGGGGTGCTCAGTTTCCTATAAGGGGCATACTTGCGCATGCACTAAAAATTCTTCCAGGAGTGTTCAGCACGTTGCAGGATCAAGCCTATTCTTTGAATGGATCCAAGTTCTCACCAGCAAGATCCAAATGTTAAGGAATTGTTAACTCTCTCCCAGTTCATGACTTTGCAGAATATTCTGTCCATTGCCTGTGTCCATTTAGGTGACAAATAATATTGTGTGCAAAGGCTGTGATAAACTATGGCACTGCTGCTTTTGCTACTTGACTATGCCTCATCTTCCCTTGGCCAATATTGCAGTGTATGACTGATGCAAATATTTTTGCATCAGTCATGGATGA